CAAATAAGATAATTATTTACCCAATGTTTGGTGAATCAGTGGGTGACAGTTTTAGTGATAATGGGTATTATGGGGTCCTCATCAGTAATGATGGATAAAATTAATAAAAGCCATTTCTCTCTCTCTGGGTGTGTGTATGTGTGGTGTGAATTCCTGATAACTCCTGCAATTTTTGTCCAATCCAAAATATATTTTGCTTGTATTTGTTTTATGTTCTGACTAAAAGTATAGGCTACTTATTTTGCAGAAATATTAACTATAGAATAAACATTTTATCTATTTCGGATCAGTGATCACACTTACGTTGCAGTGACATCAGTGACTTTATTTAGTTTGTGCTTGTTGACAGAATTTCCCTTAAATTATATTTTTAAATATTTTGGCAAATGACATATTTTAAACTTACTTAATTAAATTTAAAATTTTAAACTTTAAAAAAAATAGCATATCGTGACACTTCTATAACAAATTTTTAAAAAAGATCTTTCCATAGTGATCACATCTAATAGGAAGTAAAAATCTAACAAACTTGTTAGCTTCAATCTCTACTTTCTAATAAAAATTATTCTGGCATACTTGATGAGGAAATTTCTAGTTGATTAATAAAGAAAAAATGCTTGCAAAGTGAAAATTGTAAGGAGCACTGCTTACCACCATACAGTTCAAAAACAGACAATTGGCAATTCCAAGAAACCGTACAGAGCACTACATAAATTTAAAGTAGAAAATGCAAACAGGTCAAGTTTGTTCACAATTTATATTGCGTGTGTTGCCTGATTGGCTTTAATGGATAGATTTAACAATGCTGTTAAGACTTATGGTATTTGGATGTATGAGTGAAAACAAAGCCAAATTATGAATGTGAGCACATTTGAAAAATACTGAAAAGTTACTGTGCAGTAAATTACTATACTCATAAAACAACAAAAAAATAAAAAGAGAGTTTGCATATTTTTCTTGGTAATAAAGAAATGCAAAGTACAGTAGAGTCCTGCTAGTCTGAACATCCACCTAATTCAAACATGTTTCAGTCGGTGGAGAGAAAATTTTTTAGCTTGCAAAATATACATTTTTTGTATTTTCCAGTTGAATGTAAATGGTATTAATGGTACAAAAAGATTTAGAATTCCATAACAAAAAAATTGTATTTTATTGTAGTACTGTATTAATACTGTACAATACAAAATTAATAAATCAGTGTTTGACATGGCCTATTAAAACAGCAGATGTATACAGTATTTAGACACAAAAATAGAAACATCATTGATGATGTTGAATCTATATAAACTGGACCTGTTTTACTGCTTGCTTCTGCATTATTTCAATTATTCGGCTAATCCGAACAGGGCTCGGTCCCAATTAGTTCGGATTAGCGAGACTCTACTGTAAATGGAATTAAAGTGAAAAGAATTACAGATGATTCATAGTGGTTGTCCACAAAATACAGACATTTGTGTAATGAACACTTTATTTCAAATTTTTGTCATAATAATTAACAATTAATTATTAATATCATATTTGCTGCATATAACAAATAATTTAAATTTTATCAGTGTTTTAATTTAAACCATGTCATGGATGATGACATATAATTAAAAGATAATAAAGGTTAAACAAAGTTTAACTTCAGGAATGTATCCAGGGGTGCTTATGGAGCTAATGGTGCTACATTATACCTTTGATACCAAAGCAATCAGTTGTTACTTTAAAATAAAAATAAATATAACAACATATATCACTTGACTTCAGTTAAGTAAGATTAGTTATCTAAAGTAATTCTAAAGTGATTGAGTAACATTCTCTGAAAAATGACAGGGAGCATTGCCTTGATCACCCCAAATTTGCCTTGAGTAGCACTCATATTCTCAAAATCCTGGATATGTCACCGCTAAAAAGTTTTGACCAGAATCAATTTTTAAAAAGCAAACTGAAAATAAACAGAACAAAATAAGATTGCAAACATATTTCAATAATTTTATGACTTTATGATTGTATATTTCCATAAAATATTAATTTTACATGAAGTTACTACTAAAGACATATGTCTTCAGTAATAACTAATTTATACAGTAATAATAGTTCATGTTGAAATTAATCATTATTGTTGAAAAAATGTGTCAAAAACAAAATTTATTATAATTTATTATACTTAAATTTATTATTGACTTATCATTAAAATATAATTTAATAATCAATATAAAATGTATAATTAACAAAAATATAATCCAAGTCTTAGTAATAATCCAAAGTTTAATTATTTCTATCACTAGTATTAAATCATTTATGTTAAACGCATCGTTAAGCAAATCAAATTAGTTTTATAACAGTTATAACAGTGATTCTCAAACTTTTTTAGGATTTCTTGTGTGACGATCTCTTTACAATTTTTTAGATTGCTCGTGGATTCTTTAAAATTAACTACAATTAACATATAGGCTACTGTTACCAAATCATTTTTTGACTAACAATTATTTATTTAGAAAATGGTAAACCTTAGTCATCAAATGTACAGTACATTCAATGGAATGGGTTCATCTGTTTTGCCTGAAGTGATTCCTTCACGGTCCCCTAGAGGATTGTGAACCCCAGTTTGAGAACCACTGTTTTATAATATTCACACTTTTATAATAACTATAATTGATTATATTATATAATATAATTATTTCATAAATTTCAACAATTAATTAATAATATTCAATGTTTTCAAATAACAACTCCATAAATCAATATTTACAAATAATTATTTAAAATTTCCTTTGAGAAGGTAATTTATTATTAGTTTATATCTATATTTCCAAAGTCTATTCATACCTTATCTTTGACATACATACAATTATACTCTATATTTAATACATTTTACATGCATTCTGTAAAATAAATCAACTTTTAATTATTTTAGAACCTTAAGAATATTAAAATTTAATACATTTAGTAGAACAAGTATTAAAATTTTGAATATATAAAATTTGGAATACAATACTATATTTACTAATAGAAAAAGATACAATTAGACTTTATAGAATTTTAAATGTCTATACAGAAATATAGACATTTAAAATTTAAATACTATACAAGTTACTTATGGTACATCCATTCTATGAAATACATCAATCATCAATTTTTAATTTTTTCTAGGCTCATAAAGAATTAAAAGTAGATGCAATTCATACCATAAATGTAAAGAAGTTAACAGATTTAAAATCCAAAGTATAATTGTACATCTATCAAGACTTTGATAGCATTATTGATAGAAGATGAATTAATCAATGCACCCATTGTTAAGAGTAGAATTTAAATAATGCTAACATTTTCAACATGGTTAACAGGTTATCTTCAGGCATGTATAGCCATTCAATTTTCAACTGTCCACACCTGATGATGGTCCATTAACATGTGAAAAACATTAGCATTATTTAAATTTCACCAGGGTCAGCACAAGAGTATCTGACGCCTCTAGGCAAAAAAAATTTAATATTCATGTGCATTGTCTATATACATATAATCATACTCACACAAGCATACACCCAAATATGTTGCTATTTATAAAAATAATATCATTATAAACATTTTAAAAAAGATTTAACAATCTATCTTTTTTTTGTTTATGAGTAAGGCTGTACCCCATATCTTGACACCCTAGGCTAGAGGTGGCAAACCTTTTTGAGCTTGCATGCAATATAGTGAGCATAATTAGCTTTGACAATGTTTCTGCATGCCAAAAATTTAGACTTCAAATAATGATATTTAAATAAATTAAATGAATATGCTTTAATTAGAATAAATGTAAAAAAAATGCTGATTGAAAAAAAGGATGATCTACTGATATACCAAAAAGATGATTGAAAAAAAACAATGATAAATAAAAATCATACAATACATTACATACCAGATGATTTCTCCTTACATACCACTTTGGGCACATGCCTTAGGTTTGCCATCCCTACCCTAGGCAATTATCTAGGTTTGCCTAAATGTAAAATCGACAACTTCACCCATTGTTAAAGGCACAATGATTAATTCATCAGTAAGATGTAAAATGTGAATGAAGGATTTCCCATCCTCCAAAATTGTAGAGTCCCTTGTATGTGCAAAAAAGTCAAAGGAACCATACCTGTACACATAACCCTCAGCAAGACATATATCTACAAAAATCAGTTTTTATCATATACCACAATACTGCCTATTCTCTACGTTCCACATCAGTCAAGGCAAGCAATAGCAACCCTTAACCAACACACAACATGTAGTAGAGTGCTTCGGTGTTTGCACCTGAGTGTCCGTGGGGGGCGAGCCTCCCCCTAAAACTACATAACATCGTGTACTCTGCAAACAATCAAGGGGGACTACTCATAGTCACTTTAAATGTAATAGCCTTAGTGCAGTCACACAACTTACAATCGCACACAACCCAGAAGGCTGTTTTCAGGGGGGAAGCCATATCCCATGAAAGGTCACACACAGAGGTATGATTCCTTTGACATTTTTGCTCCTACAGGTACAATCTATGGTTCCGACATGTCTCATTCAAGAGTGTAATTGTACCAAATCCTTATCATTGATAGAAAATAATAAGAAAACAACAACTTGATTTTTTTTTTTTTTTTTGTTTATTTTCAACATAAAAGTGATCAAAACTAAAATCATATTACTTTGTATATATTTAATAGTATATATTATGCCACACAAATAAAATTTATAAGATATATTCTTCTACTTTTATCCAAAATTGCATTTTAAATACAATTAATTTACAAAAGTACTTCAAGATCATCACCTGATCAACATCCATCAAGACGATTAAGTACTTTGTTGTTTTTCTTTTTTTTAGATAAAATACATCCGATTTTCGTGTTTTACGTTAAAATCCGCACATTTAACGTTAAATTCCACATAATAATTCATTATTATTATAAAAATTCTTATTATTTGATCTATCAATCGCTAAGCCTATTTATCCTTTCAGAATTTTCTACATCGTGAATTATTTACGAATCTCTTACCTTTTGAAACTTTTAGTTTCGAAACATTATTTACATTTCTTTGCATAAGTTTATAATTGCAACGTTATATATATATATTTGAAGAATATATATTACAAAAATTTTTCTAAAGAATCGAGTCACACTCGCCCATAATTGATGACGAACGATAGCGCTCTCTGTTGTTCAAAATTCGTCGACATTTTGTTTATTCCGATCGTCTGTTATCTTTTTAAACTTCTCTTAATTTTCGAAACGATAAACTTAATAATAGTTTTTTTATTTAATTCGAGTGTATTACTTTATATAGTATACGTTCAAATAATATTGTTCTTTCGGTCGTCTCCATTTTGAATTTTAGTAATTTTGTTTATGTATTGTAATTACAGAAGAGTCGTAAAAGAGGGAAAGATTTTTGGGCTATTTTTGTGGTGTATATTATACATTTTTTTAAATTAATTGTAATTATATAAAATATTTTATATCGTAATTTAATGTAATTAGAATTTATGAAATAATCTGTTATTATCGTTGTAAAATATTTTAAGTTTAATCGTATTTTTTTTTATTTCTCTCCACTGGAAGAGAGGGCGTGTTGCCTAGTAAATGCAGAGTAGCAACCGGATCAAGTCACTCTGGGGAACCCGGGATCGAATCCGAACAGGTCGAAAAGTCCCTAGGAATTTTTCGGGGTGGTCCTTCCGGATATGTCGGGCCCCGTCCCTCATCAAACCGGCCGTCATTAATGGTCGTCCATCGGGCCTTGCCGAATCCATAATGGGCTGGTTAAATGAGGATTTCTTAGTGCCCACGGGGCAGAATAAGTTTAAAAAAAAAGCAGAGTCGATAAATATTCTGATCTCTCTGCTAATAATAACTCTAATGCTATGAAAATGGCGTAATAAATATTTCTGCCAATTCGAGTGCTGCAATCGCTTTGTAGCATATGTTTGGTTAAAACAGTCATAGTCAGCAATAAACATTTAAAAGTCTTTTAAAACATAAAATTTCTATCAAATCTGGTAAAGGTGTTTCAATCAACATTACCTAGTGTAAGCGTCCAAACGTGTGTAGAGATTTCTCATGTCTTCACTATTAGCGGTCCTTTTGAACAATCATTTTAATGATAGATGTATGGACTCTGTTTTCTTTCAATCATGTATTTCGCACTGGTTTTACTTTTATTTATTTATTCACTTTAGTATATTGTCTAGTTAATACTCGTTTAGGATAAACGATATACCACGAAAGTAATGGACAGGTGATCGAGTGGTCAAGGTGGCAGACTACCGCTGTGGGAAACCCGGTATCGAATTCCGACGGGTCGAAAAAAGCCCAGGAATTTTTCAGGCGGTGATCTGTCCTGACATGTTGGCCCCGTCTCACACCATTGGGACTTCCCATTGTGGGCCTGACCAAAGTCATGTGAGCTTGCTAAAAGAGGTCCTCTTAGTTCCCAAAGTATAGAAAGAGTTTTAAAAAAATGCCCCGAAAGTATTGTGTGCCACTCTGCAAAGGAAACTATGCAACAGAGCCAGAAGTTAGTGCCTTCAGCTAAGGTTTTGCAGCAAAAATGGATATCTGCGATTCATCAAGGCTACAAAATAGTCAATGAATAAGTAATGTGTATTCATTTTTTACTTCGTAAACATGGGATAAATCGCACAAGTAAACCTTTTAAACTAGTAAACAATACTTTATTTTAGTCAATTGTTGTACCAAGTCGTAAATTAAAAAGTACAAAAACTAACCGACTCCTTGAGTTTGAATCTCCACTGTTTGTGGAGGCGCTACTGTCTATGGAGTTTTCTATGGGCGATGCGCAATTTTGCGGCGCAATATCTGCAAAACGACTTAAATGCGCCAAAATAGCCTATATATTCGTAATCAGCGCAAAAAAAAACTGTGAAAGAAGTAATTTTCTCAAAGTTTTTTTTTTTGGTCGATGTACTCTACATAGCCTAAAGCCAAACTTAGATGTTTACCAAGTATATAAAGGCTTCAAGGAAGTGACAGATTAAATGAGAATTTTTTTTAAATTGTCTATACATCAAATTTTAAAAATATATGCCAGTCTATAGCTATATAAATGTTTTTGTTTTAGATGTATTTACTTTTAAAAACATTCATATGGAATGTTTGTTTCCGCATGAACGGCCAAAATGAGAAATTAGCACATAGAAACTAAATGAATAATTTAAATATATTAATATATTTACAGTATATTCATGAATATTTTAATATATTATAACTTTTTTGTAAATACGGAAGTTCAGAAAGTGCATACAATTAAGAAATGTATAAATTAACATTGATGACTTTAAACATTAACAAGAATTAACACAATGTTTAATTCCAGGTATTTGAATTAGATTTTCATGTAGACGACATGGAACAAAGCACAAGTATGTACGACCCAAAAAGTGAGAAACTTCTATCTCTCTGTTAGATCGGACAAGAATTAAAAAAGTGAGTATTATTTTAAAATTAAATTTCGCCGAATGCTATTGTCATATTAAACTATTTTGTTTTTTTTTTATCAATCATCTGATTTATTTAAATTATTTATTCCTAACAGGTGCTGTTTCTTTATTATAATCAGTATGCTCTTCATATTCTTGTCTTGTATCGGCTAGTCGAGCATAAGCTTCTGGGCTATATCGCCCCGTGGTAAAGTGCGACGTAATTGTCATGTAATAGTAGTTGTATGATGATCGTTACGCGGGGAATAATGCCTTCGAGGAGGTCTTTTATGAGTATTACGAGTAACTGGTCTTTATACCCGTGATATTACGATTTCGTATATCCCATCTTTAAGGAGATGCAGAAAAAAAACGTGTAAAATTCGTGTATAATGTTACTTTGACATCATCATTTACAACTAAATTTAACGAACGAGAGAGATGCACGAGGTACAGAAAAATCTCTAGAATTTATTTTCCTTAAATTTACGATTTATGTATTCGTTGTCGTAAAAATTTGTCTTTCCACTTTTTTCCCAAGACTACAAATATTCGAGTACAAAGTAACCGATTTCTACTTAAGAAGTAGTTAAATAATTAAGCGATTAGGGAATTGGGGACGTAAACAAAACCCTGATGAAAGAGCCGGAATATTATTTAAAAGCTTAACCGACCCAATCTCTAGCCGAGTACAGTGGGGGACTGATTTCTTCGTAATATTAGACGTAATATAAACAGAAATTTTTCCAGTTCAACGAGAGTGACCGAAAAGTTGTAAATTTTAGAAATTTCCCTGGACCCTGGTCCTAAAACGAATTAGTTAGAAACCAAACGACGGACAATCTATTAAGTTTAACATATTTAGATTTTTACAGCTATGGTGAGAAACGTTTAAAATGTACAACAACCCTGTCGCATCCTTTGAGATATACTAGTGATGTGACATTTGACATTAACCTGTATCGGCACCCTCGGGATTTAGCAGCCCGCTTGCATGCACGCGCCGCACACCTAGCAGGACCGTCTCTGATTCCACTCGTAGGGAGCTATTACTTTATACTGGGTATGTAAATCCACCACACATTTTATTTCATAATATATAATAATAATAGCACTTATATCGTTGCTAGCGATTCGGAATGTAATTGCGATATTGAAAATTTATTTTAAAAAAGTTTTGGCTCGAGATCATATAATGAAAAAGAAAACATTATTAAAAGAGAAAGGCCAATGCCTAAGTTAAATATAAACACTTCAATAAAAAAAAATTGTTCGACATTTTCGCCATAAAATGGCTCTGTAAATGCATAAAAATGCAAATATTGTTTAGTTGGCTTTGCCTACTATTTTCAAGTGAAATTGGTGTGTGGAATAAGAATGGCTTTGACAATTTAGTTGGCAAAAGACACGAAAAATCGTCGATTCTTTTGTATTTGGAGCAATTTGGAAATCGAAGCGGAATAGAGTTTAACATTAGTAAATAATATAAAATAAATGTTGAAAATTATAACGAGATAGTTACGGTTAATAGATATATTTAAATTAATAGATGTTATATGTTATATCAAAGCAAGAATCGGCATTTAGAGGGCATAGGGAATCTATTGAATCTAATAACAGAGGTAATTATATTGAACTTTATTAATAACTATTTATTAATTACGTCAGATAAATAATCTATTAAAAATACATTTAAATACATTAACTGATCGCTCCTGGAAGTCGGCTTCTTACAGAAACACAGCTTCCCTATCATCAAATGTCACGGCACGCCACTGGTATGTACAGTATTTTACACCTCTCCCTTGCCATTTAGACTATGCCTACTACAACAAGTCGCTCCCGACACATTTTTAATATAAAAAGTAGATCTTATGTACACAAAAGTTGGCCACTCCTGTTTCATAACATTTCGTGGCGGCCCTGTGAGGAAGCCGCAGTGCACACTTTGGGAACCGCTGGGTTAGGATAATATGGGTATTTTTTTTAACTCTTTTTGCCCTGTGGGCACTAACAGGGCCTCTTTTTGCAAGCCCATTATGGGTTAGGCCAGGCCCACAATGGGGCTGCCGGGTGGTGAGGGACGGGGCCCGACATATCCGAACGGACCATCCCTCGAAGAATTCTTGGGAATTTTTCGACCCACTCGGATTCGAACCCAGGTCCCCCAGAGGGTAAGCTGCCACCTTGAACGCTAGGCCATCCGGCCGCAGGTTAATATGGGTGCGGTCGTATGGCAATGGACGGGTTTAATTTTATAATATAATTATAAGATTAAATCTTTTTATAAAATATTGCTATTAGAATCAAAATATAATTAATACTGAATGATAAGTATTAAAAAATAAATGGAAATAATTATTTTTCTGGAACGAGCTGCCATTTTTTTCAAAATTAATTATAAATTATTATAACTTAAATTGATTTATTAGTAAAATATTTTTTAAATACTTTATTAATTCTTAAAATAATTAATTATATTTAAAACTAAAGTAAACTTTTAATTTAATTTAAATAAAATAATTATTTTGTGCTATATTTTGTCTATATTTGTAAATAAAGAGTACAGAATTTGTTACACGTGATAGCAAACGCATCGAGTACACTGTGTTTGGTTTGATTCAATTTTAAGTCTTTATTACTGAATCGTAAGTAAAGTTTTAAATATTTAATATATTTAATTACAGTAAAATTTTTGTATTTAATAACATTGTAGTAATTAATAAAAGTACAACAGTTATTGGTTCTGATGTAAATTATATACACGAAAACATGATGCACTTCATATACTTTTAGGGCTAAGAATCGATAAATAAAAGCAATTAACTCGTATCAGAATGTGATTTTGTAGGTTAAAACTACTTTGGGACGAAAGATAATAAAATTTATATATATTTGGGTACAGTTACATCCTGAATGAGACTGGATCTTATCAGAGCTTTAGACCATATCCATAGGAGCAGAAAAGTCGGTTAAAGTCCAGATACGTAGACTGTCATGGCGGCTCATCTCTGATTCCAGCAAACAAAAGAAAGGAAACAGTGGGGACGCACGTTCTAACCTAACCTAACCTATTCTAATAAATTAACATAATTATTATCAATCAAATTATTAGAATAGGTTAGGTTAGGTTAGAACGTGCATCCCCACTGTTTGCTGGAATCAGACATGAGCTGCCATGACAGTCTAAGTATCTGGACTTTAACCGAAAAGTCAAAGGAATCATATCTCTGCATGTGACCCTTTAGGAGATATGACCCCCCTCAAAAGCAGCCTAGTTCCAGGTTGCACGGAATTGGGATTCGTGTTGCTCTGCTAAGAGTGAGGGCTCTTTGGTGCAAGCAACTACGAGCAAACGGGACATTCCAATTTTCAACGCGAGTGTTGAGCGTTGAAGTCAACAATTTGACATCAACGAAGTGCTTAGTTCCCGTAATTCCATTCTCAGCAAGATGGATTCCATTCAAATGTCTTACCAATTACCCACAATTCATTGGAAAGTAGCAGTCAACATATCTGTTGAGTGCTGAGTATGTTGAGTCAATGCTGACAACAGCGCTACCTCAACGTTGAAAAAAGGAATGAATTTTAACAAATGTTGAGATCAGCGCTGAGTCAGAGTTGAAAATTGGAATGTCCCGAAAGTGTCGGTTGAGGCAAGGGGTGCATTTTTTTATCTAGTGCTCGATAAGCACTTTACATGAAATCCTCAGAAACTTGTTTCTAAATGCATGTGTGTTGTAACTTTTTTCTTGGATTCCTAAAGGTTTAATTAAGCCTGAGAAAATGCTTCCTTTTGTATTTTCTTCCTTTGTTCATCAGAATGACAGTAGATTTTGAGTATTTTGAATCTTAGCCTAGTTTACTGTCTTTAGTGTCCTCTGTGTAAAACAATTACAAATGCATTATATACATCTGCAGAAATTTAATTCAACAAGATTATGTATGTACATTTGCAATGTTTTTAGAGTAAAATAAGGGGGAAAATGTTCAATAAAAGTAATGAAATAATTATTAGCTTCTTAGAAACAAACAGACTGTACTGTGCATGACATTGCTAATATCAAGTGGTATTGTATTTTATAGATAGAAAAGTGGCATCGAAAGAAACCAAGATGGACAAGATTTTTTAACAAATTGTAAAGTCAAACATAGTGCTAATGATAATATGTAATTTTCCTCTTTTTATGCTTACAGTATGTACAGTTTTGATCAGCTTTGCCATTCACACGCATGGCATAATATACACGTATGTTACAAACACATGTTTCTACAGGATAAAGAATAGAGCTCTCGAGACTGAATAATTTCAAGTACTAGTATTTCTTATATATGGGGGTAAAAAACGAAAATTTTTTCAAATAATGGATATTTTCTTGGCTGTTTGGAAATCCATTGTTTGCAATATAGCGGATTCTCAGAACAACGGATGATTTTTGGTGGCCTGAGCAATCTGTTGAAATGGGATTCTTCTGTACTTATACAAAATAAATTTACATAAATTATGCTGGAAACTGATGTAACATTTATTAACATAATATCTTAAAATGCTCTGAATTATAATTATTGATCAAATAATAAATCAAATTAGACATTAATGAAATTTTTCAATAATTTGATTGCAAAACATTTTTCCGACATTTCTTCGTTCTGGTGTTTTCAGCTTGCTTTTCTTAGCTGACATTCTAAAGGCAGATTTACATGATACAACCAATGAACTGCAATACGCATTTCCTTTGTTGGAATGAACTTGGTGTGATGAGATGCAACTCTCTCGAAGAAAATCTAATCTGTCAGACACTTTGCTCATTGCATTTTCAGACTGATATTGAAATTGGAATTGCATGTTAGATCATATTCTTACCACTCTCAAGAAATGAATGCTGTTGTGCATACTTGGAACTACTTGAAAGTTGTGTTCTAGCACAGGATGTAAAAGTTTTCTACCTCTAGAACTTTTTGGGAATTCCTTCATTCTCTACAGTAATCTTTCTATATTAAGGACTTTCATTTTGGGTATGTGCTGTACTTAAAGTCTTTTTGGGTGGCATCTATCAAATAGTTGGAGAAGAAAGGTTTTCCCAGCAAAGAAAAGGAACTGTTGTCTTCTTTACAGATCTTCAGTATTGTTTCTGTAAAATCCATTTTAGTTTCCATCAATAGATGCCATCCAAAATGGCTCTATGTACACACCTATAGCCAATAGCACAAACCATGAAAGGCAGTCTTTAATATAGAAAGATTACTATCAGGAATGAAGGATGCATGTAAAGAGTTCTACAGGTGGAAAGCCTTTTCAATATAAAGAACAAGAGGTGCGATAACACGTTTTGTTCCATTGTGTAAACATCTGGAACATCATCAAATCATTTTTGGATATTACAAAATGGCAGTGTAAACCAGCCTTAAGAGTTTGTGCGGAAATACTTACTGATTCAACTGCTGAGACCAGTTGTCATTCAACACTACTTATAATTTACATGTTACCAGGCTTACCAATATTCAAAAGTGGGCTATAGAGATATTGACCAAATACTGATGACACCATTCACTGCTATCAACCAACCAATCAGTAAGCATTTTCAAATCGACTCTAACTGGCTCACTTTGATATATGTGATGTGCTTGATAGCCAATAATTTATTTAAAGTTAAAAATTTATCAGGTATACCCTGATATCCTTGGAGTAGGCTCTGAGAATATCAGGAATCTTAAAATACTTTGAGATATTGTGAATGGTTTAAAATCATTATCTTAATCAATACACTAGTATATAAAAGATTAGTTGTATGTAAATCATTCGGATAGGTACGTAGTAAATTATTAGTTTCTTGTTGTGTGGATCCACATTCAAATTTAATTCAGAGCTTCATAATTCAGACATCGTAACACTTCGTGATTTTTTCTGTGGCCCATATACAGTCAAGGGTCTTAAATGTATTGTGCCATAAATTTAGTATTATATATATATGTATTTAATTAATATTTATATCTTGACTTTCTTCAATATTTAAATGAATAGTAATTATGATATTACTTTTACACGGAAACTTGAAAGTAACATCATAATAGCAAGGTTGTGGTCAGCATTTTCAATGCAAAAACATGTACGTTGGACATTCAGCACCATGTTCCTTAAGATTAGAAGTTTGACAATAGCATTTGTAATGTCAAGCGTAATCCCACTGCATTCCAAATGCCATTGTCAAACTTCTACGCTTACAGGAAGGTAACACTGAACGTCCGACATACACGTTTTCTCGTTGAAAATTTCAGCCACAACCTCACTAATTACAAAGAAAAAAATCTTTAAATGAATTTACCTCTATAAGGATTAATTGCTTATTTTAAAACTTGATTTAAAATCATTATACAAAGCATAATAAGTTAAAGAATAATTAAATATTTAATAATAAATACTTTTATAATAAAATTCAAATATAATTTTTAATCTTAGAAGATGGCAGCAGCGCAATTTTTTACCAACATTGGAAAACTTGGCATTGGTCTGGCAATTGCTGGAGGAGTTGTGAACACAGCATTATATAATGGTAAGTGCAGTTTAAAATTATGAAAGGAATTAATAACCTCAACATTTGAACCCGAATCATTTTGTTGTAAGAAAAGTAATACAGGTATGCACCACAATTGCGATAAGATTTGAGAAAGACATTGTTAAGTGAACATTATAAAGTGTGATAGACAAATCTATAAGGTATAGAGTACTATGCATATAGACAGTGCTGTGGAGTTGGTAGATTTTTACACTACTACGACTTTGACCAGGGGCGGACTTGTTAATAAGGTAGGCCTGAAAATTCTGACTTTATCATGTGATCTCAGAATATAAGCTTCAATAAATATAGTTCTAATAAAGACAGAATGTAGAAACTTTTTTATTCCAAAGCTAAAATAGTCCTGTAAGTGATGATATAGTCAATATATAAATACGTATTTGATAATTTTTACTTTTTTGGCTGTTATATATAACAAAGGAAAAGTGTAGCAATCGGTCAAAAATGATCCCACCCCAAATTTTTGCATTTTTGGACTCAGGACACCTCGAAATGTCGAGATATGCAAAAAATTCGGGGNTCCCAGCAAAGAAAAGGAACTGTTGTCTTCTTTACAGATCTTCAGTATTGTTTCTGTAAAATCCATTTTAGTTTCCATCAATAGATGCCATCCAAAATGGCTCTATGTACACACCTATAGCCAATAGCACAAACCATGAAAGGCAGTCTTTAATATAGAAAGATTACTATCAGGAATGAAGGATGCATGTAAAGAGTTCTACAGGTGGAAAGCCTTTTCAATATAAAGAACAAGAGGTGCGATAACACGTTTTGTTCCATTGTGTAAACATCTGGAACATCATCAAATCATTTTTGGATATTACAAAATGGCAGTGTAAACCAGCCTTAAGAGTTTGTGCGGAAATACTTACTGATTCAACTGCTGAGACCAGTTGTCATTCAACACTACTTATAATTTACATGTTACCAGGCTTACCAATATTCAAAAGTGGGCTATAGAGATATTGACCAAATACTGATGACACCATTCACTGCTATCAACCAACCAATCAGTAAGCATTTTCAAATCGACTCTAACTGGCTCACTTTGATATATGTGATGTGCTTGATAGCCAATAATTTATTTAAAGTTAAAAATTTATCAGGTATACCCTGATATCCTTGGAGTAGGCTCTGAGAATATCAGGAATCTTAAAATACTTTGAGATATTGTGAATGGTTTAAAATCATTATCTTAATCAATACACTAGTATATAAAAGATTAGTTGTATGTAAATCATTCGGATAGGTACGTAGTAAATTATTAGTTTCTTGTTGTGTGGATCCACATTCAAATTTAATTCAGAGCTTCATAATTCAGACATCGTAACACTTCGTGATTTTTTCTGTGGCCCATATACAGTCAAGGGTCTTAAATGTATTGTGCCATAAATTTAGTATTATATATATATGTATTTAATTAATATTTATATCTTGACTTTCTTCAATATTTAAATGAATAGTAATTATGATATTACTTTTACACGGAAACTTGAAAGTAACATCATAATAGCAAGGTTGTGGTCAGCATTTTCAATGCAAAAACATGTACGTTGGACATTCAGCACCATGTTCCTTAAGATTAGAAGTTTGACAATAGCATTTGTAATGTCAAGCGTAATCCCACTGCATTCCAAATGCCATTGTCAAACTTCTACGCTTACAGGAAGGTAACACTGAACGTCCGACATACACGTTTTCTCGTTGAAAATTTCAGCCACAACCTCACTAATTACAAAGAAAAAAATCTTTAAATGAATTTACCTCTATAAGGATTAATTGCTTATTTTAAAACTTGATTTAAAATCATTATACAAAGCATAATAAGTTAAAGAATAATTAAATATTTAATAATAAATACTTTTATAATAAAATTCAAATATAATTTTTAATCTTAGAAGATGGCAGCAGCGCAATTTTTTACCAACATTGGAAAACTTGGCATTGGTCTGGCAATTGCTGGAGGAGTTGTGAACACAGCATTATATAATGGTAAGTGCAGTTTAAAATTATGAAAGGAATTAATAACCTCAACATTTGAACCCGAATCATTTTGTTGTAAGAAAAGTAATACAGGTATGCACCACAATTGCGATAAGATTTGAGAAAGACATTGTTAAGTGAACATTATAAAGTGTGATAGACAAATCTATAAGGTATAGAGTACTATGCATATAGACAGTGCTGTGGAGTTGGTAGATTTTTACACTACTACGACTTTGACCAGGGGCGGACTTGTTAATAAGGTAGGCCTGAAAATTCTGACTTTATCATGTGATCTCAGAATATAAGCTTCAATAAATATAGTTCTAATAAAGACAGAATGTAGAAACTTTTTTATTCCAAAGCTAAAATAGTCCTGTAAGTGATGATATAGTCAATATATAAATACGTATTTGATAATTTTTACTTTTTTGGCTGTTATATATAACAAAGGAAAAGTGTAGCAATCGGTCAAAAATGATCCCACCCCAAATTTTTGCATTTTTGGACTCAGGACACCTCGAAATGTCGAGATATGCAAAAAATTCGGGGGTTTTTTTCTATATGTACAAATGTTAGACTGTATGGGAAGCACAATTTTGAATCAGAGTCAGATGGTTTAATTAACACCGGAGTTATTAAGCTTCAAAATGGTTGAACTAAATCGGTTGGTACACATTCTAACATTTGCATTTACAGATAAAACCCTGAATGCTTTTGCACTTCTCTACATTTCAAGGCTTCACGAGTCCAAAGGAGTAAAAATCTGGGAAAGTCATTTTTTGACTGATTGTCATTCTTTTCCTTTGTACTGTACTGTACAGTTATACAGTAGAGGCCTTACTGTATAACTGTCAGGAAAGTAATAACGATGATGATTCTGATTATTTTTTAAAAATGCAAAATAAAACGATTTTAAAAAACTAATTAAACATTAAAATTTGACACATCTACTGAATATATAAATTCACATTTATTGACTTGTTTGGTGATGGCAATGGTATTTGGTAAGCATGTATGAATAACTTTCATACACAAATTAGTTTAATAAAAATGTTGTACATAATATATGAGTATATCTGTATATTGGATAATATATCAGTATACAGATACATTAAAGATAAAGAAAAGGTTGCTTATTTTGCCATGCTGATTAATTTATTATTTTTCATCTCTGTTATAAACTGAATTACTCCTTACAAGAAAAAAATACTTTTATTAAGTCAGCATTTACTGAAGCTCTTAAATAATATTTAATAATTTTAAGAGCAGAAAATAAATGCTCTACTGAAACTTGTTTGGTGGCAATGCTGTATCTTGGATAATGTCTGGATAGTGCAGTATTGCCATTTTAACATCCAAACATATAGACTATATGTAATCTATATATATAAAAATGAATGTATGTNCCACCTCGCAAAGAGTTTATCACTATTGGCTAGAGAAAGTATGGCGATGTGAGCAAAAGAAGAGCAACAGGGATTAGCTACTTCCCACGAAGTCATCTTGGAGACCCAGCAGTCACGTAACGTAACATATTTGGAAATGAGCCAAGAACGTTATCAAACTTGCATCATATTTACTTCGAATTTTTATTAAAATTTCAAAATATGAAAATACCACCAAGATAATTCAATGGATAATGTATTTTGGACTAAGTGAATCTAAAATGACATAATTTATGCAGATTAATATTACAGTGAAGTAACACCGAAATGTAACAAAAGCGTTGATGGCCGAGTGGTCAAACTGGCAACCTACCGCTCTGGGGGACCCGGGATCGAAAAATCCTCATGGATTCCCCATTGTGGGCCGGGCCGAACTCATAATGGTGAATCTGGACGGGTCGAAAAATCCCCAGGGATTCCCCATTGTGGGCCGGGCCGAACTCATAATGGGTTTCCTAACAGAGTCCCTCCTAATGCCCATAGAGCGGAAAGAGTAAAAAAAACTGACAATAGACACGCATGCAAACGAAGATTACACTAGACCAGGGGTGGCCAACAGTTTTTGCTCCCGGGCCGAATTGGAAAGAAAACTTTTTCCAGAGGCTGCCCTAGGAAGATTTTGACGTGCAATCTGTGTATATATTGAAAGCAAAATGTTCTGTTATTCTCGCGCACAAATAACGTAAATTGGAAAATTAATTTGATTTATTGATACAATTTGAAAATAACTTTTAAACATTTAAAAGCATTGTTTTAATTTTAATTTTATTTTAGTTTCGGTATAAAGGCCAGAGTTTTGATTTTTGTTTAACTCCGCCCCGTAGGCACTAAAAGAGTCTCTTTTAGCAAGCCCATTATGAATTCGGCCAGGCCCACAATGGAAGCAGGGTAGTGAGGGAAGGGGGCCGACATATTAATGAGCTGGCCATATAGAGTTTTCCAGTTTTCTTCACATGTCTAACACTTAAATAGGGGTAAGATATTCTTCACAACAGGCACCGTCTGTGGCAGATCACCCAGTGTTGCATTGTCGTATTCCATTAAAGTAAACCAAAATCCAAAAGATGGAGAGTTGCAACTATAAAATATTTACAATTTTTTAAAATATAAAACTCATCTCAAAATTAAGCTTTCCGCCATTTTATAATAAAAAATAATTTTTACAAATAAAATTTTAATAATTTGATTTCATAAAAACTGTATACGGATAAACTGTTTTGAATAAGTTGTAAGTGCTTTGTAAGGTGTTAGGATGAAACTTACAGAACAATAAAGATAAATTTTGATGTAACTTCTCAGGAAAATTTTCAGGCATTTTTAAAATTTAGTCTAAAAAATACCTGAAAATGTATTTAGAATATTTTTTGTAGCTACTTTCATACTTCAAAGTTTAGTTTAAGCTATTATAGAAAGTAATTACAGTAAATTTAATACTGAAATAGGCAGATGCTATGATTTTATGTATCGCATATCTCTAATATCAAATTCACTTTAATTAATTTTTATGTAACTTAAAAATAGTGTAATAAAATTTCAAATTTTAGCAAACATTGATCTGAAAATAGTTTTGTTTTTATAATATTTTGTTTTAATAGTTCTGAAAAAATCTTTTTTTATGTTTTTCATATCATTATCAAATATCTTTAAAGCTTAAAAAATTATATGTCAAAATATTTTAACTTTGCTGCATACATTAAGAAACTATTTAGTTAAGTTCAAAGTGCTTTTCTTAGTACAAAAATGATAGGGAATTAGCCTAAAAGTTTAAGATTTCAAGCCCTCTAGCTATATTCTCTATCATCATAGGACAGTTAGAGAAAAGATTGAGAGATTACTAAAGAAGTAAGCAGAAATATAATGACTTCATTTTTTTTTTTCCTCTAGTTATTCCTGAACTGATGATAAACATATCTGAAAGCTCTTGAAAATTCTAATAAGATTTTGCTTCAAATAATTTGAATTGAATATACATTTGAGGAGCTTTCTTGACAGATGTATTGTTAAAATTATTTTATTACTAATATTATTCTTATTCTTACTTTATGAGTCTTATTGAAAGGTCTTTCTTATTTATCTGCAAAAAAATGTAATAAACTTGTAATTGTTAATAAATAATTGATCAGTTAAGCTTAATAATAAAATATTAATATTTTAATATATAGAAGTTTTGTATTTATGAAAATATAACATTATTTTAATTTTAAAATGTCTTTTTAGTGGATGGAGGACATAGAGCTGTAATATTTGATCGTTTTACTGGAATAAAACAACGTGTTGTCGGTGAAGGAACTCATTTTCTAATTCCCTGGGTGCAGAAACCAATTATATATGACATTCGTTCAAGACCTAGAAATATTCCTGTTATTACTGGAAGTAAAGGTAAACAATTTTATATTTTCATAGCAAAAATATATTTAGTTCTAGAATTAAAATAGTCTAGAATACATGAAAAATACTATTAAACAAATATAACAAAATTTATTATATTTTTTCACTCTTTTCACATGTTTTTATGCACATTTTTCATTATTTTTATTCTCAAATAGATTTACAAAATGTTAATATCACCCTGAGAATATTGTTTAGACCTGTCGCGGATCAGTTGCCAAAATTATTTACAACATTGGGAATCGATTATGATGAAAGAGTTCTGCCATCTATTACTAATGAAGTCCTGAAAGCTGTAGTAGTAAGTAATAGTTAATTTTATACTATCAGTTTAATTTTTTTAATGTATTATTAACAAACAAATCTCAATTCTTTTCTTTACTAGGCACAATTTGATGCTAGCGAATTAATTACTCAACGAGAAGTGGTATCGCAAAAAGTGTCAGAAGAATTAACCGATAGAGCATCTCAGTTTGGTTTAATATTAGATGACATTTCAATTGTATGTTGAAAAATTGGTCTATTTTAAAATTAGAATGTATAATAAATAGTTGAAAACATTTCATTCTTATAATAAACATTTTCTTACTTGAAAATTTCAGACACATTTGACTTTTGGAAAGGAGTTTACTCTGGCTGTAGAAATGAAACAGGTAGCACAGCAGGAAGCAGAAAAAGCAAGATTTCTTGTAGAGAAAGTGAGTCAAATTATGCTTAATATCTTAAATGTAAATTAGAAAAATGCCTATTTTCTTTATTTATTTATTTTCCAATGAAACTATAAATTATAGGCAGAGCAACACAAACAAGCCACAGTAATATCAGCAGAAGGTGATTCACAAGCTGCATCCCTGTTGGCAAAGGCATTTGGAGATGCCGGAGAAGCCTTGGTGGAATTGAGACGTCTAGAAGCAGCTGAAGACATTGCCTACCAGTTGTCACGATCTCGAAATGTCATTTACTTACCGCAAGGACAGACTACCTTACTTAACTTACCTCAATAGTTCTTAAATTTTGAATTAAAATGAAATTAATTTTTGCCTGTAAGTTAGTTGATCAAAATACTAGATGTAAAGAATAGATGTATTGAAAGATAGAACTTTTTTAAGTGCAAGAAATCAGGTTTCTTGTTATATTTTTGTTAAAATATACAATTTTGACAGTTTAATAACTCTTAAACTGTAATTCCAAACATTAATAAAAGTGATTTGAAGCATTGATTATGTTGTATAATCTGCTTGGTCTGAAAGAGTTTGGAAGTGCAGATTGGAAGAGCAAAATTATGTCACATTAAGAGGATTTTAGCTCATAAAATTTATTTAAAAAAACTTAAAAAAGTTTCCAGAAAATTGTTTAGATTTTTTAAATCTAGTTGATTAATATTTGCATTAAAAATACAATGGTTCAGAAAAAGAATGGATAGAATTTTTCAAATATGTAATTTTATAAATTTTATTTTTAAATTGTGTTGTTGTTAGTTTCTTTATGATTTAAAAATAAATACAATTAATTTTTTAATTTTTAAATACAATAAATTAATGCATTCCCTTTTTTTTAGATTTGTTGAGCTAAATAACAAAATCTATTGTTGCATAGCTTGAAAAGTCAAAGATCAAATCTCCATTATTTTACTTAAAGTATCAGTTTGAGAAAAGAACATTCTTATTGAGGCATAAACAAGAATTTAATTAGATTATAAATTCATAAATTTGTAGCATTGAATGAAAGAAACAGATTAAATTCAATATTGAACATACAAACATAATTCTTAAAATCTAATACTTGTTTTTGAATTTAACATTTTTTCGAGACAATGCCTTTTGACTAATAAAAAAACAATAAAAATATTATAATTACACATAGCTTATGACATTTACTCAAATAAATATTGACAATTTGTTTTTCAATATCTATATTTTAATTATTTTATTAACTGATTCATTTTGAAAAGGTAATTTTGTACAGTATATACTGTTTCTATAAACCAGATCAAACTTCTAAGTTTGTATATACAGTATGTAGACTACACTTATACAGGCAGTCACAAACTTTTGGGCATAATACATTACTAAATATATGTACAAAAGAGTTGCTGTTAAATAAATAAATAATTTTTATGAATGGTGTTGCTATTACTGAAACAAAAACCAATGGAAAGTGTCATCGATACTAGCATGATGTATATTTATCAGCCAGAAATGTACAAAAGGACTGCCTAAACTGAAAAGCTCAAACTTACACTTATTATTGTGTGTTTTAGTATTGTCCATGAGATATATAAAGTTTAGCTTATTAGTATAGGCAATGTCTATGCTGAAACTAAAGAGTCATGTGAATCTTATTGATGATACAAATATTTTAATACATGAAGAAAGTATAATGCAATTATAGTCATCAACTAGAAACAAAATCAATTTTGAAATAATAAGGAAGTAAATGTGGGTGGTAAGTCTCAAATTATGTTAAATGGTAAAAAAGACAATGATAGTTAGGATAATTGTTTTAGCTGGTTTTGTATTATGTATAGATAATAGCTCAGCATAAATAATAATAANCGCTGCAATGTAGCGAACCGTTTCTAAACGTTTGCTGCAAGAGGTCGCTGCAGCGAAGATAAAGCAGCTTTTACGTCCGCTACACGTGTAAAGCAAAATGGACGCTTGTGTGTGTAATACGATATTATGCTGTAAAAATAAAAAAGTCGAAGTGACTGTTAGTTAGGATAATTGTTTTAGCTGGTTTTGTATTATGTATAGATAATAGCTCAGCATAAATAATAATAATAATTAATTATGGTTTTTTAATTAAGAAATCAGTTTAAAATATTGCAAAATAATTAGATATTTTGAATATTAGTGTAATGAAAAGTTCAGTATCAAAGACTCATCGAATCATGGATACCCCTGAATATACTATTTCATTAAAAATTGATCTGATGATCACACAATAAGACATTTACTTATTCAGGGCCCCTAGTGATTCACTATTTGCTACTATTTTTAAAAAACCCCGCTTTTCTCACTAATTTTGAGATTGAGTATACGTTACATGCTATATATGGTATTTTAGAAACAGTTATGACGTGTTTACGAGATTTGTGACAAAATAGATGGTGTAATCATTACTGAGGTATCCACCTCGCAAAGAGTTTATCACTATTGGCTAGAGAAAGTATGGCGATGTGAGCAAAAGAAGAGCAACAGGGATTAGCTACTTCCCACGAAGTCATCTTGGAGACCCAGCAGTCACGTAACGTAACATATTTGGAAATGAGCCAAGAACGTTATCAAACTTGCATCATATTTACTTCGAATTTTTATTAAAATTTCAAAATATGAAAATACCACCAAGATAATTCAATGGATAATGTATTTTGGACTAAGTGAATCTAAAATGACATAATTTATGCAGATTAATATTACAGTGAAGTAACACCGAAATGTAACAAAAGCGTTGATGGCCGAGTGGTCAAACTGGCAACCTACCGCTCTGGGGGACCCGGGATCGAAAAATCCTCATGGATTCCCCATTGTGGGCCGGGCCGAACTCATAATGGTGAATCTGGACGGGTCGAAAAATCCCCAGGGATTCCCCATTGTGGGCCGGGCCGAACTCATAATGGTGAATCTGGACGGGTCGAAAAATCCCCAGGGATTCCCCATTGTGGGCCGGGCCGAACTCATAATGGGTTTCCTAACAGAGTCCCTCCTAATGCCCATAGAGCGGAAAGAGTAAAAAAAACTGACAATAGACACGCATGCAAACGAAGATTACACTAGACCAGGGGTGGCCAACAGTTTTTGCTCCCGGGCCGAATTGGAAAGAAAACTTTTTCCAGAGGCTGCCCTAGGAAGATTTTGACGTGCAATCTGTGTATATATTGAAAGCAAAATGTTCTGTTATTCTCGCGCACAAATAACGTAAATTGGAAAATTAATTTGATTTATTGATACAATTTGAAAATAACTTTTAAACATTTAAAAGCATTGTTTTAATTTTAATTTTATTTTAGTTTCGGTATAAAGGCCAGAGTTTTGATTTTTGTTTAACTCCGCCCCGTAGGCACTAAAAGAGTCTCTTTTAGCAAGCCCATTATGAATTCGGCCAGGCCCACAATGGAAGCAGGGTAGTGAGGGAAGGGGGCCGACATATTAATGAGCTGGCCATATAGAGTTTTCCAGTTTTCTTCACATGTCTAACACTTAAATAGGGGTAAGATATTCTTCACAACAGGCACCGTCTGTGGCAGATCACCCAGTGTTGCATTGTCGTATTCCATTAAAGTAAACCAAAATCCAAAAGATGGAGAGTTGCAACTATAAAATATTTACAATTTTTTAAAATTTTAACTGGACGAATATTACTTAATTGTATACAAATCGATCAATAAAAAACACTTTATATAAACCAAAAAGACATTAAGATCAAATACTGAAAACAATTTTATTCTTTTGTACGATTAAAAAATTTGGAAAGAAAATAATTAATGATTTATATTGCCATCGGAGCCACAAGCTTTTAAGAATTTGTAAAAAAGAAAAAAAAATTAGCATTTTACGGCAGTTGTTGCAAAATTGCCACAAAATTGCATTTATAAAGATTCCAAGCGCATAAACCAATTGCAGAAATTGGTACAAAAATCCTACATAATGTTTTCCAGTAGAAGGATTAATTAACACGGTTGGGCATCTCGTTGACACGAAGCGATAAGTTCTATCTATTGACGGGATCTTACTATACTTCGTATTTGCTGCAAGGATCAAATTGTCAAGCAAATCCGTATATCGATGTATACAGGAAGGTGAAGGTACCAATAAAACTGGCTTCTCTGGCCAATAGTATGCTGTTTCGGAGGTACTCAGACACTCTACGTCTATTTTTCTTTGTAATTTTTAGTTTCTTGAAAAATAAATATTTGTTTTATGGTTAAATGCGTAGTGGAGTGCGTTAATTCCGGTGCGTTGTCTCGTGACCAATAGGTTTTTCGGGGCCTAGGACTTATTGAAGTCTAATGGGGTCTTATTTTTTGTTAATACAAATAATACTATAAATTATCATTAATATTAACTATTTTTTACTATACGATAAGTGCTCATTGTTAATGAAAAAGTATTGAAAATTTATGGTAATTCAATTTTTGTGGGCCTTGACACTTGGAGACTTAGGGCTTAAACCCTATTAGTCTATGTAGATCCGCCCCTGCTCGCGACTCCCTCCTCCTTTCCAAGCACGTTCGTTCCCTCATATGCAACCGCCTGCGCGATAATTATTTGGAAGGTATCTGTGCGCTTAAAGTCCGTCTGGCCGCGTTTCTTTATGCAGCACTCGAGAAGCGCTTTACAGCGAACCCTATGAAACCCGTTTCTAAATGCAGCGCTGCAATGTAGCGAACCGTTTCTAAACGTTTGCTGCAAGAGGTCGCTGCAGCGAAGATAAAGCAGCTTTTACGTCCGCTACACGTGTAAAGCAAAATGGACGCTTGTGTGTATAATACGATATTATGCTGTAAAAATAAAAAAGTCGAAGTGACTGTTGATAAAAATATTATGGAAAGATTAAGAAGGATTAAATTTTATGAAATGACTCTGAAAGTTATCTAAAGAATAAGAAAATACTATATTTTAAATATAATTATATATCTTTTATCTCTTTACTTTGTTCACATTTATGGAAAGATAAATGCTCGATTCTTTATATCTCTATTTAAATATTGTAGTTCTTTAACTAAAGCACTATTTTCGGCTGTAACTAGAATTAAAGGATAGATTATGACGTCCGTGTTTCGCTCGAGCGGAAAGCGTTTCTAAACTATGATGCAGCGACGTGTAGCGATAGCTGCTCGTGAACTCATTTACGCTGCATAAAGAAACGCAGCCTCTCAGTACCGAACGGTTGCACTTTCTTTGGCAGCCATGGCCTCATTATATCCTCACGGCAATTGGCTGTAACTGTCACGTGATTTTGATGTCACTATATAGTGATTGCATATATAGAGTAGACATAAAAATGACCCGGCAAAGTTAGTAGGATTTTTTTTCCCCTAGAAATAACTTATAATATGATGACTAACAATCTTAATAAATGAATTAAAAAACTATTTTTTTCTTTACTTTAATATTGTATGATTATACTTTTTCATTTTTAAATCATTTACGGACCACCCCCCCCTTTTTAACTTTAAAAAATTCTACAAATTTTCTGTCGGCCATAGCCCAGTTGATCCAGTCTTAATGATACATTGATCCTAGCTAAAAGTAGCATCGAAAATAATTATGAAGAAATTTACTAAGTACATAATGATCCTCATAGTTACAGTATACTAATTTCATAGATACAAATACGCATGACCAGTTTTATATCGGTATATACGAGTAACACAATACAGTACAGAGCGTTAGAACTGCCAGCCTAATTCGCATTAATATCTGCGATAATGAGTCAAATTAATCTATAGAAATAATTTTCATTATATCTAAATTTGCATATAATAAGATTAATTTGTATTTACGAGCTAAATATTGCACTAATATGTCTTATAATACTATAAAGTTGTGCCGCTCAGCGCAACTTTACTATATGTGAAGACGTGACGCGTTTCCGTCGGGAATACTCCGATTTCTCTCCCATTTCGGGAAAGCACTTATTAATTTAGTTTCCATTTTTCATCCCTACTCAACTACAAATAAATTAATTACTTCATTAAAATTATAATAAATTTGAAATTACTAGCATTAAATCTTTTACACGTTTAAAAAAAAAGTAGTAAAAAAAATTTTTTTAATGCGAAACTAAAGTGATAAAAATAAGAATATTTAGATAATTTTAAATTTGACGAGGGGGCGCTGTCTTCAGAAGTGTTTTGATTTTGTAAGTGAAGTGTGGTTTAGAGTTGCAGTTGTTTATTTGTAGATTCCTTTTTCATTCGAATTTTTGTAAATTTGTGATGAGAACTCGTAAGTATCACGTTCTCGTCATTAAACTGCCGAATTATTATCACAGAAATGAATAATAACTGTTATAATTCTGTTCTAAATGACGATATTTGAAATTTTAATGCTTGAGACTGGCCAATTCTATCGAAATTGGAAGAATAAATCACTAAATTTGATGTGAAAACTTGAGAAAATTTTAAGTTTAAATGGTTGAATGAATGAATGAAGTTATAAAATATTTAAAAATGAATTTGTTCTAATTTGTTTTCAAATTTCTTAAATGAAAATAAGTTGTTTAGGTACAGTTGCAGCTCTAAATGAGGGAAAGAGGATTCCTTACTCCTCACCATCATCCATCTTCATGAAAAGGCTACTACTCATCCTCATCCAGCTTAATGGAAAGTTTGCATTGAAGCTAGTACCTTTTGAGAGTTTACTTTGTATAGAGATGTTACAAACTCCTTATATGCACAAATTAGAAGTTATTTTTATACTCTTTTCCATTCTCTGTGTAAATTTTAAGGTTTGCCTGCATTTTTTCACATATTTTCCATCTTGACATTAGAAGTGGTTAAAAGTAGGCCAATAGTCATTTTAAATCAGCTGTTATAAGGTGATTGAGAAATTCTCTTAGGGTGCAACTATGCAGATGCGAATTTAGAGCGAGCGAGAGGTTGCGAGCGATTTAGTTTTCGCAAAGGAAAACCATCCACAAATGAGAAGCGAGAAATAACGCTAGCGAGAGCAAATTTCTGGTTCTCGCACATATCTGACAGGTTTTGATATTTATAGCGTCGCGCCTCTTCTCGCCACATATTCTCTCTCGCTCGCGTCTGCATAGTCGCACCCTTAGACTGTCAAATTGGATTATATTAAGTCTGAACTAGGATTGCCACCTTTTGGTATTTGAAAGCAAGGACAATAATCATAATGCGTGCGTGAGAGTCGTAATTGGGGATTCGGGGTGGCAGCCTTTTGCTGTTTAATGCACTATGGGTAAAAAGTTTTCACGAAATGCATTGTGACGAAAATTCTTTTCGTAATCTTCTCTAGGTTTTGTATTTTTGCTTTATAATAACCTTGAATTTGGTTGCAATGACTGACAACTTTTATCTTTAATTTAAAATTTTTTATCGGAATAAATTTTTTTTCACTTAAACAATGTATTTTGAGTGACTTCCCTAGTAAATGGTGGCAAATATGTGGCATTTCTATTTTCCTCCATTTTAGTTTTGTTCAAAAATGCAATTCTTGCAGCACTGAATTGAATTTTTGAAGGATTTAAATGTTTGTAGATTTTACAAATCTTAATTTGATACTTTTAAATATGCTTACTATTGAAGAATTGAAGTGAAATTAGCAGATGTAATGGAGCAGAATGGAATGAGATTATCGTGAAGGTCGCCTGTGTTGGAATGTGGGAGGAAGGGGCAAATTGGATGTCGGGCTATTTACAGTTTTGATGATTGAAATTACAAGATCTATAGTATTTGAAAAATGGGATTTCACAATACTAAATATTGCTTCAAATTGATTTAGAAATTTTTTAAGCAAAATGTTTTGTATAATATATTGCTTTTGGTAATTTAAATATCAAATTTCTAAAGCAAAGAAATTTAGAAGTTTAATGTAAAGAGCATAAATTTTACAACCAAACTTATACTTTAATGGAGTAATAAATACAGCTGGACCTCCAATAATGACCACCTCTAAATGGCAGCCAATATTTTTAAGAATATTTCTTTGTGAAATGCATACAAAATACCACTTACTTCCAAATGACTATTATTTTTCTGTTTCTGTAAGTGGCCATTGTTCAGAGATTTAATTGTGTAATGTTTTTTATAAATTATTGTTTTTTACTAATTGATTTATTTCACAAATATTGCAAACTTCGTAATCAATTAAAACAATATTTAAAAATTAAGAATGATCTTTAAAAATTTGTGATTATTTTAGAAATTGCCTTATCATTCTTATTTAACATCAAAAGGTGATAAAATATCTTTGAAATTGACTATTTGACAGGAATGATTTAGCAGTTTTATTTAATAATTCATGTTTAGTATCAGTTATTACATATATAATACAGAAATTTGCTGAAATTTTGATAGAAAATTGTTTTGCTATTTCTTGGAACAGATTTCACAGTTTTAGTGTATGAGAAATTTAGAATTGCCTCTGCAAGTATTGCATCTGACCTCTGGCTAGGGCTCGGTAATCCTTTCGGGACGAGTGCAATATTTGTTGTAGTGCGAGCATGGTGTTTACCCATATGGTTAGGTTTGTACAATATTGTGGTCTGGTACAACTTTACAAAAAGCTATATTACCTTCAGTTAGATATGGCAATGGTTACTGCTTTTTTGAGAAGTTTCCTTAATGAATATTGTTTTAAACATAAGTTTTTCTTTTGTTTAATAACATAGATAAATATATAAATATAATATAGAAATATCTTTATCAATTAAGTTACATTGTCTTTTAATTGATAACTTTTTATCACTAATATTTAAAAAAAAAAATTCAAGGTTTTGCCAAAGTTTTGTGAATAAAAATTTATTAAAATTGATATCTTTATTTTCTTAGCAGTTCTAATTGTTAGAAAAGGTTTTTAAAATTAGGAGAAATAAAAAGCTTTTAAGTTTCTGGATGATTTTAAAATCACTATTTTAAAAATTTGATTTTTTTCAGTGGTGTTTCTCTACTTCAGAGTGGTTAAAGGTTAGTTCATACTATATTTTTTGGATACTACACGTATTAGTGTATTTGTTTCTGGATTGTGGAGTATTTAGCTGCTCATGATATAAAATATAAGATAATTGAAAATATTCATAGCTTAACCAATGAGAAAATGCTGAAGATGATGAAATAAATTGATCAAATGTAGTTTGTTTCACTTTTTGGCATTCGTTTTTCAAAATATTTAATGTTTTATCATAATTTTTTTATTGTAGAGACATTAATTTTCTTTGACAAATGTTCCTTGGTACTTATCATGTTTGTAAAAGCTTGTCTTCATAACAAAGTTTCCAATTGGTTGTTGGATTGATTAATTGCATATGTCTGGCATACATCTCTCATTGGTTGCTGTATTGGTAATGGTGTCCAAATGTTAACCTATTGGCTACTGGATTACAAGTCTTTCAGCACAGCAAAAAGATTCTGTAACTCTACTATCTGGCATATAACTTTGCTGTCCAATAATGCTTGTTTCTGTGGCAACATTGTGCTGCATTATGCCAAACTAGACAAATACAGTAAGACCCCGCTTAACGCTGATTCAATATAACACGGTCTTCTTGACGCCTAAAAAAAACGCTCAAAATTTACACTGATTTATATTAACGCGGTATTTCATTGATTCATATATAATACGATTATTCCCAAACATGAACCAATCAGCAAAAGGTGGAAATTCGTTGTAGCGCCATACTTTCCTTAAATCTATGTTTGTTTTGTGCAATTTTGGAAAAAATATAACATCATGGATGCCATAGGATATAGTGACTTGGCTTGGCAAAAATTAACTGATAAATGCATGAATGGAGTGTGGAAGAAGTTATGGCTGAAGGTATGCAAGAATTCTCAATGAAAATAGCCTATCGCTGTATTGTTATGCTGATCAAATTGTCAACTTAATTGATACAGGAGATGTAGACGAGCAGGATATTGGGGAGTTCCTGCAGGTTTCTGGTAAGAGCCTTACCAATGATGACTTTAAGAACTGGCAGAACAAGGAATTCATGTAGAACTTGAAAATAGAAATTCTGAAAACGAAGAACCCAAAGAACTTGCTACAGATTTCTTTAGTAAAAGTTTGGTAACAGTAATCAAAATCGTTGATCAAATTGTAGCGAATGATCCAGATTTTGAAAGGAGTGCAAAAGCAAAACGAGGCATTTTGGATGTGATCTTCTGCTACCAACATTTGCTTAAGGAGAGAAAAAAGCGACAAATGAAACTTTACGTCTTTATTGCAAAAAACAATATTTTCAGAAAAGTCAGTGCCTTTATCACAAAAAATGAACTAATTAATATATTATCATACATTCTGTCTACATGTTCATCTCTGTGCATATGTTTGTGTGTTATTTAAATATATATTATTATACAAATTAATATAAAAATAACTTAAAATTAAATTTTTTTAAAAATTTTCGGTTGCGTGTTTCCCTATCCCCATTTACTCTGTTAAAATGGTCTCATTTAATGCTGTTTCGCTTAGCACTTTGTTGTTTAGGAACGCATTCCCTGCTTTAAGTGGGTCTTACTGTATGTATAATGTGAACCATCCTTGACAACTGTTCAGACAATGCAATTTCTTATTTGATCACTTTATTGATATTGTTTGTGACTCGCATGTTGGATCAATGTAGTACAACACATGGGTGAACACAATTGCAGATCATCACTCTTCCTAGCCAAGCTCTCATGATCCTGCAGTATTTATGAATAGATAGAATATGATATCCTTCTTAGTATTTTTGTATGTATGTATGGTTATGCAATAGAACATTTATGTGACTATTTTAAATTGCATTTATGAATTTAGGTGTAGGTTATGTGAAGATTTTATCTTCATTCTAATAATTTTTTGCAGTGTGTTACATTGTGGGTTATATGCATGAAAATACAGTAATTAAGTTGTAAAAATGAATGGTTTAGAGTAAGATTCAGTATAAACTTGCATGCATTATTGGTACATAATTTTAATTTTTACATCAGATAGTAACATTCTAGAATTATTTATAGATAGATCTTTTTGAAATATGATCTTCTTCATTACCTCTGATACAAACTAGAATTATGAGGAATTAGATGAAGTCATGGGAGTGAAGAAGAAAGAAATGACTAATGCAGCTTTTGCCAGAGTAAAAATTTTCCTCAAACTAAGAAGAAATGCCACATCAATTGATTTGAGCAAACTTACAAAAGCACTGTAAAGAACAGCCAGAAGAGATCTGAATTTTTGTAACTTCCCTTGATTCTAAGATACACATCTTTTTTATACTAGTAAAAATTGGTATAAAAGATTTAGTATTGAGGAAATGTGATGTTTATAGCCTTTGGAGCCTTGTATTAATATTATAATGATCACTTATCACAATAACCCGACACTTCTGTACCTATAAATCCTATTATTTTAATTTTAAATGTATTATTTAAATATTCTAATCACTTGCCAGCATATGTTTTCTTTTCCTTTATTACAATTTATTGTTAGTGACTTTATCTATGAAAAATGTTTCACATCCTGAGAAGGAAGTTGGAAATTTTATTACACTTTATCATGCAAAAAACAAACACGACTGTGTACAATAGAAATATTGACAGTTATTTTTCCTTTTACGTTTTCATAACAATTAAACATATTCTAATTGATGCTATAATGGCATAAATATTAACAGAAAATTGAATTTATTATGCTTTATTTAATTATTTAATACTGTTATAAGATATGTAAAATTAGATATGTCAAATTAAATTTACAGCTTTTAATTAAAATAAAATACACATTGCAGTACAGAATGGAATAAAGCTGTATTATTATTACATTTATACAGCACGATGTACTGATTCTTGTTTAGCAGTAACGATATTATGTTTGAAGAGCATGTGTGTAGTTTTACTATTGTAATTATTGTACTAGTATTTGGCAAGCAGGAAATTTGTCGTGTTTAACAATTACTTTCAAAATTTATCAAATATATGTCTGAATGTCTCAAACTATCCTCGGCTAAAAATCTAAGAATGATTTTAAGCTGAGGATGGTCAGATTTTGACTAAAAACATTTTAATTTAATAAAAAGCCACCTTCTTGAAATTAGCAGTAATTTATTTTTTACTGAACCTGTATTTGTTTCTGTATGTTGCTAGTGAATCTTCTAACCAAAGATTTTTAAGGTATAGTGATAAATATAAAAGATTTTACAAATATTATCTAGATTAAATTATTAACGTAAGACATTTTTTTTAATCTTAAGTTAGATGATATAAAAAATAACGCTGTTACAATTAGCAATGGTTATTTTTAAATGTAACATCTAACTACACAATACAATTTAAGTGTGTGTTGGTGTAATAAAAATAGTGTTGCTTTATTTTGTACTTGTTATTTATAGTGCATTTGGTTTAGGTTTTTAAAAATGTTATAGGATGCTTGTGGGAAAAAGTAATTTTTACTGACGATTTATAGAAGCTTTTGTAAAAATTCTTATTTTTTCTCATAAGCATCATCTATATTTGTAGAATATAAGATACTAAGTTTTTATTCAACAAAAAATTATTACTATATAAATTGTCTTACAAAAGAGAGAAGTTAAGAATATTAAGTGTTGGTTTTTTATGTGATTTTAGATGTAGGCAACTTGGACTTTTGTGTAGGGTCTCCTGTTCTGTTCGTAGGAGTCTGACATGTGCAAATGCGTACTTGTTATTCAGTATTGTCAAGGTCATTTTACATTATATAAACTTATATAAAAAACTCAGGAAAACCACATTTCCTATAAAATTACTCCATGTACAACTATACTGTTCAGTTTATAATTAAAATATGGAGTTTAAAGTGTAATAAAATCATTTATTATAATATTCATATTCATTTATAATTAAAATCCAGCTGGCATGGTGTTTAACATAGTGTGATGTTGGGCTGTTGGATTCATATTTTGCATTTGGATATTCATTTATTTTTTGACCTTGTAAGTTAAACTCAAACTAACAAAACACATTAACAGAACTAAAGTGATCTAATGACAAATAAGTTTCCATTCTAAAGTTATTAAAGATATCAGGTCTGGACTTTGTATGCATAAGATAATATGCATACAAATATTGTCTTATAACTGCATATTGTTTAAGCTAGCTGGCTACAAAAGACCCTAAACTACAGTTGTCAACTCCAACATTGACTCAGTAGTAACTTTCACCCAAGGTAAAATAATTTTTTCCACCCCTGCTTCCAGAACAGTTGACAACAGAGAGCAATTCTAGCACTAACACTTGTGTTTGAACTATTTATAAACAATTTTAAAATACTTCCACAGGACTTCATTATATTTGGCTTATTATTTTTATTTATTTTTTTCTCCTTTCGAACATTTCTGATGCTCGTTTTGCTGTTTGAGACAGTTGCATCATTTCTTCACCCATTGAGCTGGCCATAGTCAGTTCCATAAGAATTTATTTTTGAGCATTATACTATGATCAGAAACTCCAGCTTAATTTATTCTTGATGTCATTTCATCTCTAATAACAAGTACTTGTGATCATTTACAGTTACTTGCAAACAAAAAAATTTAACAGGATTAGTAACTAAATAATAGAAATTATTATTTGTGATGAACTATCATTTTTCTATAAGTAGAAATTCTGGTACTTTTCAGTTAATGGGATGCTAGTGGATATGTACAGCAAGGGTATGATTCAAACTCTAAATGAGGAGTTTCACACCACCACGGAATTGTTGCCCCATTGCGTGATAACCATCTCTGAAGGTCAGTTATTAACATGTATCAGTCTATCACCTATTCTACATGCTTCACATGTTGACCTGCACCTTGATGCCCTGGTGAGGGTAAGCCCCCCACACCCCCTACAACTATATAACATCAAGTACTCAACAAACAGTTAAGTGGGATACTCAAAGCTGACAGTTGTGTGGGCTAAATTGTTAATCGTGATAGACTTCTGGCATCCTGTTAAATGTAAAGACTGAAATTCTTTATATATTCTTTATCGACACAGATTTTGTTCAAATGTCTCAAACCATCCGCTGCTAAAAATCTTAGAATGATTTTAAGTTGAGGATGGTCAGATTTTGACTAAAAACATTTTAATTTAATAAAAAGCCACCTTCTTGAGATTAGCAGTAATTTATTTATGTACAAAATAAGTGCTTAAGTTATAGTCGGGTGCATATTTGGACAAATAGAATAACTGTGCAGAATTCATGATGGAATAGAGTAAAACTAATATAATGAAAATACATTGTTCACTATACTGGAGTATAATTATAAACTGTTCTTATTCATATCACCATAAAATAATATAAACTGCAATTACTATATCAATGAAAACATCTTAGAGCTAATATATAATTTTTAAAAGATTCCAATGCCATAGTGTTAAATAGGGTGAAAGCAATTTTTACGTAATTTTAAATGTGGAAGAGCTTTTAAATAAATATCAATTCTTCTTATATTTGTTTGTGATATACAAAGGTTTTACTAGTATGACCCTAAATTTGTAGATTTTTAAACAAATTGTGCCACTAGATCAAAATACAAATTTAGATATAAATTTTTGTAGATAATTGTACAGTTTTTCAACTTTCCTGATTGTATTACAATTATTTCTATATTATGTGATTAAAATTAAGTTTTAAATATTCTCTACAAAAGTTTTAAAAATAATTCCTGTAAATAAATATTACTCATCATTGATTTTTCATATTTTTAATGTATATACAGTAGAACCCCTCTAGTCTGTCACTCCGGTTAATCCGACCATAGTCGGAGTCGAGAAACTTGTCCCGACTCACCGTCCGTGGCGTTTTCCTGTGTTCGTTACAGTATATGTTTTACGTTGTGTGTACAGTACATGTACAGTTTTGTGCGTGTTTTTAACATGTCAGGAGTGAAACGTAAACACGTTACTCTTTCATTAAATGAAAAATTAGCAGTGCTACAAAGACTGGACAAAGGGGAAGATTGTTTATTTTACTTTTTTCTGATAATCCGACCTTTTTTGCGTTCCGACCATACCCCAGTCCCAAAGGTGACGGATTAGAGGGGTTCTACTGTAATTAATATATTGCCATAAGTAACATTATCTTTTGTTGATTTTTTTTTCTTCACAGTAATTTAACAAGATGGCAGGAAGAATTCAAAAACTGGTAGCTATTGGAGGAAGTAGTATTCTTACGTATTACGGAATATCATATTATCTAGAAAAAGTAAGTACTTAGTAGCGTTAATTGTAATTTTTTTGTATGTAAACAGTAGTTTGGCAACAAAAATTCAAGGTATAGAATATTAAATAGAAAAGAAGAATTTATGCTCATTTTTTATTTACTTTAACTGCTGATTATAATTAAGATTCTATATCTTATTTAATTATTGCATGTGCAGTTTTCTATTAATGCTGCAAAAATTGTAAAGTTAACAAATCAAATTTGTAACAACAAATTTTGTTAAATGAGGATTTTGTTTCTGTGTTTAGGCATTTTTTTAACATGTTTTTTGTTGTCTTTTGGAATGTTTATGCATTTTCACAATAGGGTGAACACAAATTAATTTGTATCAAAGCTGTGAAGAAGAGTTATGAAGAATATTTATAGTTTATTGGTTTCTGTACTAGAAAATTTTATGAAAGTGGTGATTTTCACAGAAGTGACCACAAGAATGATTATAAATTAGTTAAATATGGATTTGTAGGATAGAATTTCTTTTAACTTTTAACAAACTACATACATTGTGTTGCTGTTTCTTGTGAGCTGTAATTAACAGCATTGATTTCTTTATGAATTTAGCCAATTTGCTTTGTATTGTATGCTATTGATTTTGTTAAATTGTCTGATGGTTTTGTTGATTGTTGTTTTATGTAATAATTGAGGCAGAGTGTTAATGAAGCCTCTTCTATGTGGCTTACAGAAATGTTTGTTCTCAAAATCTGTTTGATAGATTTTGATTAAACTTTGCCATTTTCCATTAATTGTTATGAGGAATCCAAAAATGTAATAAAGAAAAGGGGGTCTATGACTTTGTTTTTGAGATATAAGATTGTTTCACGAGCATGCGCAACAAAGCAATATCGTGCAACTTTGTCACATGATGTCCCAAGGTCACATGTCTTCTATGTGGTTTATAGAATTGAATTTGTCCTCAAAATTTGATGGGCTGATTTTGATAAAACTTTGTCATTGGTTGAAATGAATCTAGAAATGAAATAAATGTAGAAAACAGGAGTCTTTGATTTCATTATTGATATAAAATGGGGTCAAAGTGACAATGTTAGTCCTTGAGCATGCCTAATAGAATTTAGCATGCTCAAGGAGCTGCTAAATTCTATTAGGCATACAATTCTGTTTTTTTTTTTTTTTAATTTGACCCTCCAATAGAATTTAGGGGTCGAATAAAAAACAGCATTGCATTGCATGTGCCTAACAGAAAATTGATTCAAAACAGATCACAAGAACAAGCAATTGGCATCAATTGGTTTTATTCATATACGGCAACGTGACTTATAGGCAATCTGCCAAAGGGGAATATTTCTTGGGAGGTCTTTTGTAGGAAACTGGTCTTCTGTTTAGGATTTACTAATGTGAATAAAACAAATATGGCATTCAAAATTTTGTTTGTAAAGCATGATGTTCAAAACCCAAAGTGTTTGACTGTAGCTGTTTTAAAATGTTATAACTAATATTTATTATATATGCAAATAACCAAAAAAAAGTGACTTCGCTTGTTTCATTTCCGTATTGTTGAAGAATTATGTTAATACTATAACCTTTATTTCCTACTGATTTACTAGAATATATGAAAATATTTTATGTACTTTCTGATTCTAGCTTATAATAAAGTTGTAAATGTCAATTTTTTATACTGTCAGCTGTCAATTATTGTTAATTATTGATAACTGTTTAGTACTATCTTTGGATTTGTTGCTACATATGATTACCATGTTTATGTAACTGTGCTAAACTGTAGTTAGGCTGGATTGTATTGAAATGCTTCTTTCCTTTTTGTAGGTTCACTTTGTGATAATGGTCTTATTTTTGAATGTTATGGGAATTGTTGGCATATAATTTGCTTTTATGTATATAGTGGTCTTTATAGTTTGTACTGGTTCGACACTTCTAATGAAATTTTTGTGTTACTGATTGATGTATATGACAGAGACTGATGTACAGTACATATATGTCTATTGTCAGTCACTAGTTTTTTGTTGCATATATGGTTGGCAAAATAGACACAATTGAGATTAATGTGATAAACTAATCTGTAAACAAGTGCATTTTTTTTACAGTACAGTGCATGCATGATGTATACATACAAAATTCAGTAATCCAGTGATCTGCTTTAGTCCAACACCTTCCAGTCCAACATATGTTAGGTTTTATTTTTTAGATTTTCCCATAAAGATGTTGAATGTTTTCATGTTTGTAAATATATTTTTATTTTGTTCTAATAAAGCACTGTTCTGTTTTAGTTTGTATATAGTCTTAAATTTATCTTTAAAATAATATTGTAGAAAGAATTAGCCTACATCACTGATTAATATTATAATACAGTTATGAAATGCATGAACGTAAAACTAAGAGAAAGTAGTTTGCTTTATCTTCTCTTAAGACAGAAAGGTTTTATTTTTTTTCTCAGTAGAATATAATAAAATATACCAATATTTTAATGTGAGATCTGGGATACCCCCTTTCCAGTGGGAAGGTTTAGATTAACAAATGGTAGTGACTAATAAACATGTGGGAGATTAAACAACATTTAAACAATGACATGAGAGAAATAAACTGTTATCCAAGTTGTCACCATCCCATGACAAAATCTTATGGCTGCCCACCAGACGTGTCTTGTGACAGAGAATCACTTGATGAAATTCTCACACTAGGTGGGAAACTGTCTGGGATAAAAAGGTGGCACCAAAGGTTCAGGGTGAACTCCTCCATACACCGAAGACTCCCGCCATTCTCCAGGCCTACTCGTCTCTCCGAACATCTCCATTGAACTCGGTCTCCAGAGAAGTCTCCCTACCACTTACCTCGACCAGATCAGGACACATCAGGTTATCTTCCTGAGGTATTCTACTTGATAGATTTATGTAAACTCACTCTCTCATTGTATTAGTTGCTAAGTAGCTAGCTTTGTAACCTCTTTATAGGTATTTAATTCCTTTATGTTACTTATTAAATTTGTTGTTTAACTGGTGTCGATATCAGTTATTGCAAGGACAGGCCAGTCACCTGTCAATTCACTTGCGACCCCTCTGCCACTGGATAACCCAAATAAACACCATCCAATGACCAAGTGAACAGACTTCACAAGTTTGATGCCAGAAAAGGGGTTTAGATCATTCACCTCTAACCCCCTCAGATTCTCACATTGATATATTTTTAAATCAGTGCAAATCTAACACCATAATGAATTTGTAAATTTTTCGTTTTAAAGACTTGTTTTTTGTTTCATTTTACTTTATTAAGAAAAGATTTCAATATTGAGGAAAATCAAGAAGGAAATTTTCATTTAGGCTATAGTCATGTAGACAAGTTATTTTCTGGTACAATATGTTAGTGTGAGTGAACAAATGTGATGTCAGGTTATGGTGTTTATTAGTTTCTCATTTCTTGTTCATTCAGNTGAAGAAGAGAGAGAAACAGACCACCTAGGACATGTTTTTCAAGAAGCCAGCTGCCAAAAAACAAAGGATGGAACAAGAGGAGTTGACCCTGCAAACTTCAGTAGCCTCTCCTGAATCTGACTCTAATTAAAAAACAATAAAAAGAGACCTGCTGCAATGTGTAAAAAGTCTGTATCTGTATGAATGTGTGAAGAAAGTGTTTGTTCATGTAGACAAGTTATTTTCTGGTACAATATGTTAGTGTGAGTGAACAAATGTGATGTCAGGTTATGGTGTTTATTAGTTTCTCATTTCTTGTTCATTCAGTAGCATGAATTTTTCCATGATATCATGAATTTTTGTTTGAATGTGTAGAAAGAAAAAAGATTGACATAACATTTACTATCTCTGTTTTGATGAGTTTTTTTTTGTTTATTATATATTTTGGGATAAGTTGTAACTAAATTTTTCTCTAAGAAAGCTTGAATCATTTTTTTTCTTGCTCATATATGTTGAAAAAGCCATGTTTGAATCACATGTACATATCAAAGACGAGGTATAGAGCCAATGCGAAACTGCAGTATAAAGGGAGAATTAAAATTGCAATAGAAATCAAACTAGATATGATAAAATCTTGCTCTGAGTCTGTAAAATATTCACACACGCATGATTTTGCTTTGCAGGAGAGAGATTGCTACAAACTTATGGCTCTCTATTGTTTTTGCATATGCATAACCATAGCCTTAGATTCTTCTCTAAGCTTTACCTTCTCTGCTGATTCATCAAACACATTCAATATGATCAAAATATAATGGCTGTGAAAATTAATTTTATGCTTTCTGAAAGTCATACAACTAACTAGAAATGTTTAAAAACTTAATGATAAAAATAATTATCCTCAATAAATTTTAATAAATTGTTAGAAATCTCTGTAGTTAACTTAATAACTAATATATTTGCATATTGGATTATAATTCAAAATTTTAATTAAATCTTTTTAACTATGAAACAATAATTTTTGTGTGTTTTGATGGTTTAATTGATTTTGCAGCAAACAAAGGCTGACGAGGTAAGAATCAACATTACGACTTGATTCTGTAATATATTTATCTTACATGTATTATTTTGTTTGTTTGATTAGAAATCAGTGAAAGCAGATTATCAGGAACATTATGATAATACTCAACAACTATTTAAGTCTACCAGACCGCTTCCCACTCGACGCGACTTGCTGAAATCCCTGAAAGAGACACCAGAATTTGATGTTTTGGTCATCGGAGGTGGTGCAACTGGTTGCGGAGTTGCTTTGGATGCAATCACGAGAGGTTTGCTGTTTTATTAATAAATTATTGAAACTAAAAGTTGTATAATCATAATTTAAATTGAGTGTCTTTTATAATCATATTTTTCTGTCTTAAAAGAAATATCATCATCATTGCAATAAGTTGCCATTAGATTCCTATAACATCTTTCTGCTCTGTTGGCATTGAAAGGGTCTTTTGTTCTGAACACAAGTTTGACTAGCCTATGACAGAGCAGCCAGATGGTGAAGGATGGGCTCAGTATGTCAAGTTGACATACCTGAGATAAATCTCATAAAAATTTTGATTCAGCTCCTCTAAAATCATTTTGACATACTGAGATTTATATATCTCTCAGAATGGGTGATATATATTATGTCAATAATCTTACCATCAATGTTAGTTTAACATATAGTTTTCTTAAATATTTTTTATTGTAATATATTAAATGTTACTTATATTCTTTAGGCTTAAATACTGCACTAGTAGAAATGGATGACTTTTCATCTGGCACAAGCAGCCGAAGTACAAAGTTAATACATGGAGGTGTAAGATATTTACAGAAAGCCATCTTAAATTTTGACATGGAACAAGTGAGTTTTATAACATCATTGCAATTAATCTTAAATTTATTCATTTTACTTATTTATTAATAATAATATACAGTGGTGCCTTGTATAATGTACGCTGCGAACAATGGACTTTCTGTTTGGCTGTTATGTGACTCGAGCAATGGACTGGCTGCGAACAACGGATTTTCCATAGCCAGTCACGTGAGGCGAACAACATTTCCACGAACAAGTTGCGAATGATGTTTCCACTCTTGCCGTTGCCAATGACAATCTACTATTCTTAGAATATATTAGTATTATTAGAATATATTACATATCTGAAGTACAGAGCTCCTGTTGGGATTCGGCTTGCTCCCTTGTTTATTACATACATCACCTCAGTGCAAGGTATTTACATTTATTGAAGTGTTGTGCAAATCATTGCTTCTGAAAAACCAAAAAGGTGATTTCAATTGAAACAAAGCAAGAAATCAGAGAGTGGAAATTAATCAAGTAACTAACACCTTATTCATTGCCAAGAGAGTTTATTAAAAACTAACGTTTTCGATCTATGGAGTAGAAATGGATCTATGGAGTGAAAGTTGACAAAAACTTTGTTGTCAAATGGGGAGAGGTTCAGGAGTTTACCAATACTCATTATCCAAACAGCTGAGGCCAACAGGATCAATGATCTCTACAATGACATCCTTGCCCGTCATTTCCGACAGGTGTTGAATAAGCGAGAGAAACAGACCACCTAGGACATGTTTTTCAAGAAGCCAGCAGGGAAAAAAACAAAGGATTTAACAAGAGGAGTTGACCCTGCAAGCTTGGATAGCCTCTCCTGAATCTGACTCTGATTAAAAAACAATAAAGAGACTTGCTGCAATGTGTAAAAAGTCTGTATCTTTATGAATGTGTAAAGAAAGTGTTCGTTTACCTCCTCTTCACAACATCTGACCACCTGGCATAATTGGTGACTGCTCCATTTTCATTTTTTTTACGGTACAGTACAGTTATTTTATGCTGCGGAACGAATTATATGTTTTAACATGTATTTCTATGGGAAAATGCGTTTTGCATAATGGACTTTTCACTTAACGGACGTGCACTTGGAACGGATTAAGTACGTTATACGAGGCACCACTGTACATTGTGAGTCGGTCCATCCATAGTGGGCACAGTTATGGTCAACTACATAACCTTTAATGTGCTTGTTTTGGGATGACTAATCAATCACATTAAATAAGATATTAACAAAGAATTTCAAACAAAACAAATTTATGCTCTTTAGTTATCTTTTTTTGTTGTGGGGATGCAAAGTTCACAAGTTCTTTTCTTGATAAACAGTCATTTAAATATAAAAATTTATTTACTGTTTATATACAGCATAATCTTGCCAAAACAAATGTTATCAATTTCACAAATTCATAAGCAATGACACTTTGTGGAGAGGAGTCAAGAAACTTGACTCACTTGTATCACCAAAAACTCAATTTTACTGAATCTGTCTCCTATTTGAGACATCAGCTAACTGTCTTCTTAATAAGATCAATTTGTGATTTACTCTTAGTTGCCATGCCCTAAAGCTAATTGGAACTTTGCCAACCATTTCAATATTCTTGGATACTTCAAATTTTGTTGCCTGACTTTGTTTCATTTTCATCCTAAGGAAACTCCATATGTGAAGATTGCCTTGGCACTATTTTTGAGTAAATACATCAATAACCGAATCTGTTCCTTTCTTAAGCTTAGACTTTCTTTTTTTGTTCTTGAAAAACTCTAATGTGATTCTCTAATTCTACAAAAATCCCTGTACAGAACTTGTCATGCAGCTTGTTCCTAAATATTGTATTCTACAAATCAAGCTTGTTCAACTCTGTCTGTCATTATTTTTAGAATCCTAACAATCGGGCCCACTCATAATGGGCACGATTGTGGTCAATTATTTATAGCCTTGTGTTGACTAATCAATGAGACGAATATATTAAGAAAGATGATTTCTTTGATAGCATGTACAAATGTGAAAATTGTGTGTACAATGCATTTAATTATCTAATATGTAGATTATACTAATCATTAAAGTTGATGTAACAAGTAAGGTCAATCGTACTCAAGACAATAAAAAAGTGTCATACAAATTATTAATGAATTCAGGATTCTTACTGGAAATTTAATTATTAATTTTTAATTAAATTTGTTTCTCTAAATAATTAAAATGTTGTTATATTTTGATAATTGAATTTATATATTTCAGTATCGCATGGTAAAAGATGCGTTACAAGAAAGAGCAAATTTACTTTACATAGCACCTCATCTTTCTTCTTCGATGCCCATTATGCTTCCTCTTTATAGGTAAATATTTTATAATTTTAGATGAAATTAACTTAATTTTTAACTTTTTCTAGTTTAAAATGTTACATATGCAAATTTTTATATAAATCTATTTTTTTCCTCCTCATAAATATTTCAACATAGATTTCTGTTTATTTACCATTATTTAATCAGCATTCAGTAGTTAATACTTTGTTTCAACATACGATACGAGAAATATTAATTTACTAAGTTACAATTTTATATCCCATAATTAGTATAGTTTAGGTTTTATTCCCTTTCTATTATGCACAGTGATTGATCAGATTCAGCCAAAATGGACAAATTTATGGCTGTCCTTATAACCTGAAATTGCTTGTCTCTCTTGTTAATCCAATCACTTGAGAAAATGATTTACATCAGGATGATTTTTAATGTATATTTAGGGTTGTAAATTCTTACGCAAGTAAAGGTATTTGTGACAAGCAGAATTGAGACCTGAATTGCACCTTTTTGTGTAACACTCTTGAAACAAGCTTGGTCCAAATGAAAAGAAATTTGAGAATTTTAATGATATTTCTGAACTTTCTATGTTAGTTTAAAAGTTATTCCAAAGCTAGATTTACAGAGTTATCTGGATCCTTGATTATTTATGGGTTGGTTCATTGGTTACACTGCATGGCTACATCCTTTGAACATTAGTACAACCAGTATTCAGTGTTTTGTTCAGTCAGATTTGTGCTTCACCAATGGAGAGTTTGTGTAATCTTCACATGTCTAACACCTAAATGAGCCAGTTTCTCACAAAGTCCTCCCAGGAAGCACCCCCTCTTGGCAAATTGACCATTGTCCATTCCATCAATCCAATCTAATTTATGGACAATTAAGATTTTAGCCATTTCAATTTCTTGTCCAAGCTTGCTAGTCTCATTATCCATCAGAATCGTCTGTAATCAATCATCTTATTTTTACTTTAAGTTAAAAAAAAATATTTAATTGATTTATGGATTCACTTGACTTCTATTCAGATTACGTAGTTTTGCACCAATATTTTAGTTATGGAAATTAATTTAATGAGTAAATTTTTTTAAAAAATAAAATAAATTATTTATTTTTTTAAAGTGATAAATTTGAAAATGAAGATGATAAATTTCAGTGATTTAATTATAGGTGGTGGCAAGTACCCTACTATTGGGTTGGCATCAAAGTTTACGATTTTGTCGCCGGAAATCGTCGACTAGATTCCAGCTATTATTTAAGCAGAAGCAAAGCACTAAATTTGTTTCCTATGTTAAAGAAGGAAAAACTTTTTGGAGCAATTGTTTATTATGATGGTAATAACTTCATTAATAAATTGTTTTTAAATTTTTAGTGGAAATCTTGTAATATATCATGTAAGATGATTTCTTTCAAATTTGTTCTCATAGTCCAAAGTTTTTATAAGGAACATTACAAATGGATCCAATTAAAACTGATATATGAGTTTTTTAATTAAGAAAAAACAAACTTTCAAATGATACACATCATCAGAAGGCAACAATGTGTATGTTGAAAGCTCTGGTGTTTTTTTTAAACTGTTTTACTGCAATAAGTTTGATAAAATATAATTAATTCAATTCAAAGTTGAAGATATAATAATTGACTTTGCAACTTTAGTTTCATTTTATAAAAAAATTTAATAAATTACCTCTTTAATTTATTTTGGTGTTTTTCTATATTTGTGCAAGCTTTTAATATAAATTAATGTGTTTTTTTATAGTAATAAATGCCTTTTATAATTTAAAAATGTTAAATTTTATTATTATTAGTTTGTTTTTATTTAAAAATTTTAAGTAATTTATTTAAAATCCTTAACATTATGACTGAATGCAAAAAAACCTGACTTATTGAAAGACTAATCATTTAAAACTAATTTTAGAAATATCTGTATGCATTACAGGCCAGCACAATGATGCTCGTATGAATTTGGCCATAGCTTTAACTGCAATAAAGTATGGAGCTACCCTAGCAAATCATGTTATGGTCACTGGAATAAATAAAACAAAGGATTGCGATGACAAAGATAAAATATGTGGAGTTCACTGCGTAGACATTTTAACAGGTGAGTTTTAATATAAGTAGTAGGCTTCTGCTGCTAGATTGTGGCACTATCAAAATTAAGATAATTTAAATTTTTTATGACAAATAGGAGAAGAATTTAATGTCCGTGCCAAAACTGTCATCAATGCAACTGGCCCATTTATCGACAGAATAAGACACATGGACAATCCTTCACTATCCTGTATATGTCAACCAAGTTCTGGAGTTCACATCACACTTCCTGAATATTACAGGTAGGTTATTACATAAAATTCATAATATATTGTTATTGTTTTATAAAATTATTATTCTTTAAAAATGTTATAGTAGAAAAAAAGAGGTTTGAAATTCAATGTTATAACTAGCTTTTCATCTGTCCTGTGCAAGGTTTTATTTTTGTGGGAGAAAATAATAATAAAAATATTTATAAGTATGTATAGAAGAAATATACAAGGTTATTTACATATATTTATAAATGAAAGTTTTACTACAGTATATTTGACAGTTTTTGTCAATTTCATTTTAATGTCCCTCTTCATCCTAGGCCCTGTCTGTATACCTATTACACCTACCTAGTTATGACACTAAATTTTTAATACAGTAGTCCCTTGATAATCTGACAGGTATGGGACCAAAGGTGTGTCAGATTACCGAAAATAATTACATATTTCGCATTGTTTTGCTAGCAGTAACTTACAATATTCTCTACTCCAACTGTTCGAACAGAACTGCTCACATAAAACACACAAAATGTGTGTCATCGTGTAAAAATTGGATGGGGAGATTCACATCGCGACATGCTTCTGTTCAAGCAGACACGTAACGGGGACGGGTATCTTGACGGGAGGTGCGTCGGACTACTGAGCATGTCGGATTAAAAAACGTCGGACTA